CAGGTTTTCCTGCAGGATGGCTCCCCCTTCCAAAGCATCCACTTGCCCACTCAGTTTGGTATCATCAGCAAAATTCATCAGGGTACACTTGACCCCATTATCCAGACCACTTAAGATATTAAGCAGTGTCAGGCCCAATAGCAATCCCTGGGGGACCCCACTAGTGACAGGTTGGCAGTTTGAAAAAGAGCTATTTGCCACCACCCTCTGAGTGTAGCCTGTCAGCCAATTCCCCACCCACCACACAGACCACTCATCTTTATCTCAGTATTGCTTAGGAAACTGAAGCGTGCTATGCTGGGAAGGCTTAGAAGACTGACAAATCAGGCCAGCTTTAAACTTTAAAACAAAACTGTACAAAGCTCACTCACCTGCAACAACATACTAATGGTTAGCCCTTGCACCTTGTTAATAATTTTCACTGTATGCAGAACTGTCAGCCTTTCACAACTTATCCTAAGCCAGCTGCAAGTGGCACACAGCACCACAGAACTGAAGCCGGCTCTTCATTGCAGAGGTGTATGTGCCCAGGCCTGACTGACAGCTCCTCTGCTAGGAAAGCTGGGGCTGGGACAGGCTTGCCTTCTCCCCTGGGATTCTGTGCAACTCGCTCCATCCAACCCCTCCAAAGAGGGGGAACAGGAGTCATCTACTTCCAATAATGCTTATCGTGGTTTTGCCACTCACCCCGGTGCATTCGGTAGGACACTCTGCACATTTATCTTGCAACCTTTTGCTATTGGGATGTTTCCTATGTGTAAATACATGCATCTTTGGTGCCCCTTTGGTGGTCACAGAGGTTATATGTTTTATTTAGTTATGCTACCGGTGCTACAAAACACTCACATACTGGTTTTTGTTAACTATCTTAGCATGATCTTTTTTTGGGTTCAATGCATTAACATTAATTACATCCTGATTAATGCACTTATAATTCATATGTATCATAAGCCTTTGCTTTAGCTACACCTAGATATACAATTCTCAGGCTAAGCAGGTGCTCTTCTACCTGGGGTAGTGAAGAATTTCTTCTACAACCTGTGCTATACATAGTTTATCTTCATACCAGCAGAGAAAGTTTAATGTGATATGGTGAAAAGTCATAATAGGACCAGAGTACAAGGGGGGGAAAGATATTTTTTTCTTCTCCCAGAAGAAAATTCAAAGAAATCCTGAAGGTAATTTTAAAAGCAAAGTGCAATTTCAGATAATGCAATCTAGATAGAAGCAAGGATTGCTACCGTATTTACACTATTAATACTCAAATTCTTTCTGCCTGGCACAGATGTGGTCTGCTATTTTGTAATATTACCCCCCTTATTCCATTCACAGACTCATTCTTCAAATCCATGAAATATAGTAATACAGTAATAATAATTTCTCTAGTAGATTTTGTCTATAGCTTGCCTACTCTGGTAAGTGACACCAACACTAAGCAAACACACAAAAAAAATATTCTTTTTTGTTATTTCTACTTTGGCATCAGTGGTTTTACCTACTTATTTCCCACATCCATAAGTATCGTTTAAACACAGCTCCTACTGAAGAATAAGGAGGCGTCTTTGGCCCACGCTTTAAAGGCCATTTGTCTATTCCCACCCCCACACACCCCCCAGAATACAGGCATGGAGTCCAGATAACTTTATTTCATTTAAAACATTCAAAGAAAATGGATTCTTTGCAAGGAAATTAAACAGTATACTAATTATCTGGGTGGCATAGAAAGCATGCCTATAATTTAATGCTACATACATTTTTATTTCCATTACCCCAGTTTCATTGTGGCCTGCTAACGAAATTTTCAAGCTTAAAGTCCTGAACCTTATTAAGTTTTTCTGGAAAAACACTCAAAGTTTGATGAAGACACAGAAACAAGACCACAAACTTTGAACAGAAAATCCTTACTTGCGCTCAGTATTCCAGCTGTTGAGGCTCCAGCAAAAACCCAGAGAAAGAGATGGGTAACTAAAACTTAGCTGCTTGAATATACATAAAATATATGTACTTAAAGCACCCTGGTAAAACAAGGGCTTCAGTCCAAGCAAAACTCAATGCCTATGACACTCAAGCCTCTAGAAAAAAATAGTTGCCTGGGTAATTAATAAAAAAAAAGCCAGCACACACAACCAATTAATCATCTAAGTTTGCCACATGCTGTGTAACTTATCCCTCCTAAGCCTGTCCCCTGATCCCTGTTTCACCTCTGCCCCTCACTAAGCCAGCTGCTAATGCCACCAGCAACTGCCATCTATAGACCAACCACTGCGGGTATACTTCCAGCCAGCTGAAGAGTCATTAAATTATAGTTTGGAAGTCCTGGGCACCCGGAGAGGCAGCTAAAAAGGTCTTCTGGCTGCTCAGTGCCTGGAGAAGTCCTGTAACTTCCATGGACTGAAGTCTTACCTCCAAAACTGTCAGCCGGGTTCCCGATCCCAAGACTGACCTCTCCAGGCAGCATGCTCACTCTGACACTCCTGGTGCTCAAGCCCCCAATCCTCATCACTCACCACAGCTATCTGTATGCCAGTTTTGCCAGTTTCTGATACTTGATCATCTGTCAAAACCAGAAAAATACATAGATGAAGCCAAACCATCAACTAGAGGAAATATATGGATCCAGACGCTCATTTCTAAGCTCCCTGAACCCTGCTGAACACAAAAGTTCCCTAAGCACTATGGTAGAGACGGGGCCTGCCTTCCTGCACATCATGGCCTCATACTTGTCCAGAGCAGGACCTGTTGCAGTAGCTGTACACCCACGGAGGCCTCACCCGTGGCCACCAGGCTCCTGCGGTGACAGCAGCCTGCTGGACCAGGGGCACAAGGGACCCTGCACCAAGGAGGGACCTCACCTCAGCCTGCGTGAGATTATTGCCAGGGCAGGGAGAAGGAAACACATCAAAGGACTCAATGAAACAAAACTCATTTTTTTGCATGATAGCTCTGTAGGTTTAGTGAGCATCTGAAGTCGGCCTTGGAGCTCACCCATGGAAAAGACCATTTTCTCCTTCTGCTCAACTCCCACAGCCACCAGTAAGGACCATTTCAGCTGAAAGAAAACCACCTCTGAGGCAATTACCAGCCCTGTGCATCTAACAAGGGCTGGTAATCCTCCAACCGACCTGGAGCTCAGGCCACCCATGGGCAGGGCAAGGCAGGACAGGACACACACAAGCAACAGCCTGGCAGGGATGGGTATTGCCACTGCAGCAGGACTTACTACAACTCTGTTCAGGGTGCTCTTACCTTCCAACCAGATACCCAGAAATAAAAACACCAACACAGAAAGCTAGACAATCCTAAAAAAATCCAAAATAACAACAAAAAAAAAAATCACACACAAATAAAACATACCAAGAAACCTAGCGAGGCCAGCAAGATACATCAGATGAGGTGACCATTACTGAAGGACCTGCTCAGAGAGCCATGAAGACCAAGCTCTGCCTTGCCCTACCCTCCCAACTGATACCTACACAGACAACAAAGCCTCCCTAGTGGCCTTATCAAGGTGACCCTTAGCAGCTCATTAAATCCTAGCTACATTTCATGTGTGTTGATCCATAAATAACTGCTTTATACCTTCAAGCTGTGCCTATTCCACTTGCAGAACATCTTTGCACCTGGCTACAGGCACCCAAATAAACTTGCCCAGAAGGGGAGTGACAATGACTTACCTGCAGTCAGGTGGTAAAAAAACTCACCTTCCCCAAGACAGGAATTGTGTTTGGCCATGAGCCTGACATTATCTCCATTAGGTCTCTCTACACCATTCGTGTACCCGAGGCACAGCTGAAAGCCTGGGGGACCATCACAACATTTTCACTCAGCCATAAGACAGGTCCCATCAGTGTTTGTCCTGGCATCACTTCCCATGTGAAAGCAGGGTGCCAGGCTCCACCATGGCTCAGGTGCCTGCCCAACCAACCACTGATGCCACTACAACGCTGGCCAGCCACAAAAATAAACAAAAAACCTATATGGAGGCATGTGTAACTCAGCCACCGAGTTTGGTGTATCAGGTGTGAAGGAACACGGACACGGTGGCTGTGTTTGTCACATAGAATAGAAATAACTACTGTGACCTGATGGCTGCTCCAGTTGTTTTTTTTTCTTCTAATATATACAGGCAAACTAAGCTCATCATCTGGTTCTTCTTTATTTTTAAACAATGACCACTACTTTTATTTAGTTAAATATGCCTTTCAAAGACTGTTCATGAAAAATTATTAAGCTTCCATCATACCTTGTGGGTGCCTTCCCATTAACATTTCTTAGACTTTCCATAAAGGTGTGATTTATGGCCTTATCCTACAACCACCCATCGGAGGGATTTTGAATTCATGGAGGCAATCTGCGTGAGTAAATGTTACTCGTGTACATTAGTGGTTTCCATGTCAGGCAATTAACTTCCAAATGTTTGCAGGCTCTTTCTTCATTTTTTTCATACCATAGTCAGGCACGGTATTAATATCCAGTACTGAGTCTAATAAGATTTCCATTACCTTCTGGGGTTAATAATGAACACAGCAGGGACAAAATCAGTATCACTGTATTAACTATCATTAAATAGGATATCTAAGCATCAGCATCATCGAGAGTGAAAAGCTTAGTGTATATAAAAAATTTGTATTTGTCTACTTACCTCATTCAAATTCTAACTTTAACATTAAGCCTTGGATTTGAAAATTAGTAACAAGCAAACACATTGTGCATGGTCAATTAAACTGAACTCTACTATTTCATGTAATTGCAGAAACTGTGAAAACCAGAAGTAAACTTTGTTTCAGCCAGTTTCAAACAAGTGGTTTAGAATTTTCATTAATGAAAAAAAAAATGTCTGAATCAATTGATTTTAAATACGTAATTCTCTGAAGAATTTGACCCTATGTATGACCATTTCAACTTAAAAACTGAATCCATACTATATGCTATAATAGCAAAATTAAATTTTACTACATTCCTTCATCAGCAACATGCATCCGTGTAATTAAAATACTTACAGTTATCAAATCTGAGGCACATATTATGTCTGGTCTAGCACATGGAAGTCTGTGGTAGAGGGCTCAAGGCATATTCCCCACTGGCTAACCTCGGGCACTTAATTTAAGTGTTTGTGTGGACGAGGAAGCTCCAGACAACCTGTCAAGCCAGCAAAGAGAGACAAACCCAAACCACGTAAGTCTGAAGTCACCTCCACACATGATAAAATGATGGCAGAATCACATTTGGGGGGAAGGAAAAAGAGAAAACGCCTCTTTGTCTAGGAGGAAGTCAATAAAACAGAAGGGGGAGAGGGCACACAACGGATCCCAGGCACCCATGTGGTCAGGACAATGAACTCACTTGAGCACTCTGATAATCCCATCCGAATTATGCTGGGTGAAAGGGAGAAGGGCAGAGCCAACCTCTCCTGCAGTCTTCTCTCACTGTGGATCCAGGATACAGATAAAATCATGAGCCCACAGGCCACACAGGGTAGATACTACCCAAATTAAGATGATGCCTATGCATGGCTCTTCCCTGCACTCTTCTCTGTTAAAAGTTTCATGATGGAAGGGCAAACACCATGCAAGTGCTGATTAACTCCAAAATGCACAAGTCCACACAGTTCTGGTCTGAGAAAGTTTATTTATGGCTGAACCCTACTTAGGAAGACCCCACTCATACTGTTGCAAATGACTGTGGCCACTCCAGTTTTAAAAGTAATCCTGCTGTTCTTAATGTGAACCACATACCAACACTGCAATTAATACTAGTTGGCATTTATTAGCAGTTTGAGATACAAGACAGTCTATGGGCTTAGAAAGTGTAGCCTCTTAAGGCAGGCCTGTTCAGAAAAAAATGAGGTAACACAGCAGAGAAATACAATGAGACTTTGCTTGCAGCTTTGTAATCTGCTTTTTTCGAGATTGGATCCACAGGTGAAATACACAGAGCAGTAAGATAGGATTGCAAGGACTAAATCTAGACCATCCTTGAATACTAAACATCTTTTAAAATACACAATTAAAATACAATATTTTCCTAAGTATCACAATTTATCTTCCCACATAAATGAGAACAAAATTAGTTTTAAATATCTCAGAAGCCAATTTTTTCCTCCCTCAGAATCAAAGGGGGCTGAGGACTTTTTGAACAAACAAAGGGATTGACAGCGAATACCCTGCAAGCATCTGTAGCCTCACACATTTCTCATTTACATCTTTATTTTTCTCCTTCTTCCTCAAAGTAATTAAAATCTTCCTTCTGCTGGAAGGCCCATGGGGAATCATCGCAGGGGAGCTGTTCTGAGAGAAGACGAGGTCCTGAGGTGAACCAGCTTCCTCCGGGTCCTCGGTGAGCATCACCTCCACTGTACCCCCAGCAGCGCAGCGTTCCTGGCAAACCTTTCCTGCTGTTGCCCCAGCCGGCACCGGTGGCACGTGGAAATGCCGCTTCCACTGCTCAGTGGACTGAATCGAGGTTTGTGCCTCTGCCCAAGGGCTGACTCACTCGACTGACTGGCACCCCGCCTGACCTAGCCCCATTGCATCTGTCAGAGGCAAGCTGTACTTTAGGTAAGTGCAGCTAAATTTGGGATATGATAACTTTATTTCTGCACATCCACTCAATTAATCTGTTCCTGGACTGTCAGTGATAATAATTTTTCATGAATTACCGATTAAGTCATACACTTAAAATTGTTTTCTGAAACCTCCTATTGTCATCCAAAAACTTTGACAGTGACTCTTGTCATTACAGCTTGTTACCCTTCAGCATCATCACACCCAAAATAAGGTTTATGTTTTCACTTGTTCATACACAGGACTATAAATGTAGTGGAGGGATTACCACTTCATATTCTACTTCTTATTTGCCAGAACTTTCCTTACCCAATTTTCCCTCTGTGACCTTTGCAAATGTGTATTTCCTTATTCTTTTATTGTATTTTCTGTAATTCCTCCTCACCTCCATTATTACTACTGAAACTATTCCCTGTCTTTCTCTTTCCATTTTGTGAAAGCCTTAAATTCCCTCCACACCCCAAATTGTTTAAGGGCTTTCACTTCTGGTCTATATCAGATAGGCTACGATCTAGTTTTCTGTTTTGCTTAATCCTAATTAAACTCCTGGCCCACATACAAATGATGCCTATTACTTCTGTGGCAGATTTTGCTTTTGACTAATCTAGAAATACTCATTTTCCTATATATTTTGTACTAAAGGAAGTTGTCTTTAAAGATCAGCAACTTTGCTCTTCAAACACATAATCAGTGAATACTGCAGAGACGTAATCTGCTCTCATACAGCACTCTCTGCATCAATCCAGGGTGAGGCATTTTGTACTACCTACGAACCAGAAGACCATTTCAGACCATTTAACCATGCTAAGATATAAATATTCAGATTACAAAACAAATAAATGAATTGAGAAGATTAAAAAAAATAAGGGGGGGGGGGGGGGGGGGGGGGTAGGGGGAGGTGGATGGAAATTAATCCTGATCTAAAGCCAGCTAGTTAAACTGTATTCTTGCTACATAGCCACCATTAGCCAACCCCTGCAGTTTCCAGATGTTTATTACAGGATATGCCTGGACAAATCTTCTTTCATAAAAGCTCTTTGACACAAAAACGTTAAACTTTAAGTACCTTAACACAAAAGCAGACCTTTTAAAGGGGATTTACTCGAACTTTTTATATACAAAAACAGCTGGAAAGGGAATAGAATGACAATGAAGTAAAACAATACTTACAGACAACCGCTTAGTAAATCTCCGTCTTCTCCTTTAGGCACAAAAGTGAACTCCATACACCATCAGCACCACGTACACAATAGTCCTATTAAGCTCACCATTTTCTGGAAGATTAAGGGCCTGATCAAAAGAACACTGAAATCGCTGGAAATATCACTATTTGCTTGAACAACTTTGGATCTGGTCCATACTGACTTCGTAAGAATAACTGCTCATAACAACTCAGCTTAAAGCTGTAAGAAAACAACTCTGCTTATAACCTCCATAAAAATACAATAAAAAGGAACATGTTTTCTTTCTATTTACTTTACTTTCCATAATTTTTAAAATGGAAACTTCCAGCGTTTTGCTCCACAATATAATGTAATTCATTTGGTCTGAGGAAGCAAAAGGAAAATACGACAAAGCATAGAAGTCTGGTTCCCTATTCTGAGATGTATCATCATTCACAGTGAAAATAACTTGTGTTATCCCTCAGTTTGATGCTGAACCAAAACTTACTTGCCAAAACCTGGGGGGACAGTGGGACATATTTTTTTCTTTTTAGAAAATGCTCTCTGTATTGCTGGTTCCAGTGTCCTGGTTCTGTATTTCTTCCACGTCCCAACTACCTACGGGCTTTTCGTCACAATTTCACATGTTCATTAAATGCAAGGTCAGACTTCTGTAACTGACAGTTTTACTTCCACTTATATGTATGCGTGTGTGTGCATGTTTATATATTGTAGACCAAGGCCAAAAAATTAATATAGCATCAAATGATAAAAACAAGGACCATGATTCCAAACCATTTTGACTAAAGCTTATGCTGGTTGGATACCAACCTTTCCTAATTTCAGACAAGGCTTCTACTGTTTGCAGTGAGTGCCAGAGAAAATATGTTTCTATTGTTCCTGTATGAGAAAAAAGAAAAAGAAAAAAAAAAAAAAAAAAACAACAACAAAACCAAACAATGATCAAAGAACAGTTAACCACTGGCTGACAAACACAGACAGATCTGTAGGACAAATGAAGCCATGTCTACAAGCAGGATCTCATCTCACCCCAACTAAAAAAATCTGTGTCAAAAACTCCAGTGATTTAATTGGGACTAGAACAGATGTCAAAGTTACGATGTTCTTATAGCCAGAAAGGTTAAACCATTTTGTAAATTTTTTTCTACCACTCTCACAGACTGGAAGTTGTTATTGCCTAATGCCACATTTGGTAGACAGATGGTACTGAGGAAACCTTTATTCTAATTTTACAGGTATTTTAGTAAATTTATGCTAGGATTTTTTGATCACTAATATATGATTAGCATCTTCTATATATAAGTACATAGATCATATACATGCTATGTGATCACCTTGCAATAACAAGCTGGATCACGTTCATGTTAATCAATAGCAATCCTTGTAGATTAGACAAATCAAGCAATACGGAACACCTCCCAGCTTTGTCCAAGTCAATACAGATGTTACCTATGAGCCAGCATACACAGGACAAGCAGTAAAGCTTGCCACTACAAAATTAACTTATCTGTGTATTCTAAAGACATCTGAATAAGCCAAACATGTTTATATCAGGCTGTGTTTGGGCCATGGCCACAGCATTTTTGATGCAGCACTGGGAGCTCTAGCACTCCATTTTTCACACCGTCAAACCATATCAAGTTCCTACAAAACGTCCCCAAACTTCTGATGTTAGGATGCCCAAAGCAGACATTTCTACTTCTGTCTCATTTCAGTAAGCAGCCTTACAGAAAACCCTTCTTGGATTAGACTCATACACAGTAATGAAGTCCAATTCCTGTATATGGCCTTCTTACTCATGGGCCTAATTCAGTTTCTTCATAGGGGAGAAATAATATTATGCCCATTATACACATGTAAAGACTGAGGCATGGAAAAGTAACGCAGTTCTTCCAAATCACCACCCTTAGCAAAGCAAGAGCACAATCCCGTCTTCTAACTTTGGTACTACATCAAATGGCAATTTTTGCCATTCCCTAAAATCACATAAGCTGTGGACACTGTTTTATTACAGCAGTCACCTCTAGAAATTTTCAGAACCAAATTATTACCCAAAAAGCTCATTTTGCCAGGAAAAAAATACGGTTAGATACATATATTTTTTTCTAGCCTCATTTCTTTGTGATTTCTCAGATTAGAATACCAATCAGGTATTATCCTCCCTCTTCCCACAGAGACCACAACACAAGGTGGTTATTTATTTATTACCTATTGAAAATTCTAAAAAGGGGCATTAAAATTTACAGTTTTATATATATAGTTCTGTAGATAAAGGACTTCTGATGATGCTATAATTTTCTGAATTCTGGTCAAGGATTTTCAGTTAATATTCTCCAATACTGCCCTGTAAGCCTATAGTTACATTGCAAAATCAATGTATACAACTATTATTTGGCTTTTCTATCTTTACGTGCAGTAAGAACTGCATTTCTGAAGCTATTTATTGGCACTTTGGTAATGTCATGAAGGCTATTTCTTCCTTCCTAATTGTGCTTTTGTTCCTTTCTGTGCTGAACAAAATATGGTGAAGGGTCAAAAGCATACATCTTTTCTTTCCAGCAAAGTGAACGTTATAAACTAGCTTCCTGGTCACCTCCAGATGCTTAGAAACTACACAGGGGTGGAAACTGGTGGACACAAGTGCTCACGGGATTCCTACTGCCCAATGTTACAGCAGCATGGGAGAGCTGCAGATGGCTTTCTAACACATTCTTCCAGAAGAGGCTTTCCCAAATAAAGCCAGTAGTAGACCACAACCACTAATAGCATTAAGTTGTGCCAAAATATTCCCACTCTGCTCCAGACACTGCCTTTTAAGGGAAGCAATAATCCCCCTTCACCAAGTTTCCCCCAGTTACAGGGAAATCTGTGAGAATCACCAAAAGCCAGCACACTCGCAAATGCATTTCAAAGCTAAGAAAATCCAAGCCTTCCTACAAGATTTCTATCATCTTCCCACTCTACCCTAAATCACATTTACGTGACTCATTCTTCCATTTTACACTTCCCACAACCTGAGCCCTTCCTGTCTTGTCTTCCTTTTCCCTCCTTTTCCTGAAAAGCTTTTACTTTTATGCTTAGCTCACGGAGAGTTATCACAGTACCCGTGTTGTATTTTTCCTCCACTAAATTGATTACTTCTTTAACTCAGCTCTCTGCCTTCTGGAGACGGACACTCCTTTCGTGACCGCACAGCGGTGCAGATTACCACGCAACAGTACGCTGCCTCGCTACTTTTATTTGCAATAAGCATAGCTCCTCTCTTCATGTGGGCACTACATTGCTTTTTTGCAACCCAGCTGCCGCCTCCCACAGCTGCAGGATTCGCCAGGCGGTCCCTTGGAAGCAGCATCCGCGGCAGCTCGCAGCCCTCGGAGCGCAGCAGGGGTGCAGAAAGGCTGCTGCGGGGGGAAGGATGCTCCCCCGCCCCGGTTTCCCGCGCTGGTACCCGGCAGCTGGGGGGAGCAGCCCCCGAGGCCACCCAGCTGCTGTGCTGAGCTCCGTCACGGCGGGGTGACCCTGCTCCTCACGGGGGTAACGTTCTGCTGTCTTGAGTGGCGGAGCTGATCAGCCTCTCCCCGAGAGCCTGGAAGTGCGCTGAATTAAAAGACGCTGCCTCTCGCTAGAGGCAGGATGGGGTTTGTGTTGGCCGTTGCTCCTGGCTGAACTCGGTTGCAGCTGCATTCCCCTCTCCCCCTACACGCGCATCTTGAAGTACCGTCATTTCTTTCCAAGCTCAACATCAAGGTTCGTGTAATTACATATAAGCATATGTATATGATTGTATATGCATGCGTTACTTCAAAAGGGTTTGCACAGCAAAGCCTGCAAAATGAGAAAACACCAGCATTAAAGGAAGCAGGTGTGATTCAGCAGCTTGTTGTGGGCATGTTAGGAGACAGTCACATGTGGCTGCAGACTTGTTTAGTGCATACTGTGCCAAGCCTCCACTTCCTATAAAATTGTAATCACCTCCAGAGCTCTTCTCATCATACCCAAGTGCTTTGCAAGTATTCATCCATTCATGTCAAAATGCATTGGGCAATACTGTTACAGCCCTTCTCAAAATGAAGGAACTGGGACATATGCTAGATATGTTAACACACAATAGCATATGGTACTCAACATATTTGACTACAAGATCCTTCTTTTCCCTCCTCATGCACTGTATACTGCAGCAGAAGCTGAAGTCCTGCAGGTAACTAACCAGCTCTGATTCAACATCAGCAGCACTGCTCACTGTGTATGCTGAACAAATAACAAAATCTTTCTTGGAAAAGATCTTGTCCCAGAATAAAAATCTGGTACTGGTTGAGTCCCTCGTGCCAAAGAACACAGTACAGGATTGACAGGTGGCAGAGAGGGATCTTTTAGTAACAGATCACCACAACATACAGGCTCATTAGGAGCAACATCGTAAGTAAATTTGAAATCCAACCTTTCTCAAGTCTGATGATGCAACTTGCATACTTTGTTTAAAATTTTTCCAAAGTTTTGCTGAGTGAGGCGTATCATCCCTGTCCCCCGTAGGTGCAAGCTCCTGCAGATCAGAGCAACCTTGGTGCTACGTGAGGCAGCAGCTGCCGGGCTGGCACAGCCCCCAGAGATCCCGAGTTTAGCACGGACTTCTGCGGAGAGAGACAACCTTTGGGTTTGATTTCTTAATTGAAAAACTGTAATTGTAGCAACACCAAGCCCCAACTTGCATAATGAGTAGAGTGTGGACCATTGAGATCTATAGCACAGCCTACTCCTACTTCTAATTAAGTAATAACTAGCAGTTGTGAGCTTTTCCATATGCGTATGTAAAGCCTGCTGATAAAAGGGGAAAGGGAACTCTTAACAGCTTTTTTTCTTGTTAGGCTGCAGGAACTTAGGAAGCTGCTAAAAAGTCTGGTAGGATATTTAGCTTTGTGGTTACAGTCTGATTACTTTTAAGTCTAAATGCTTTTTAAATTTTTCTCTTTTACTGTTTGTTTTGCTGCATGTACACTTTTATAGTCATTTCTCTATACTTCGGTAGTTGTGGCCTCTTTTTTCTGCTATTCTATGTTTTGTTCTATATATATGCTTTTCTTTTTCTACTTTCTCCTTCTTCCTTACCAACAGTGGGAGTAGTAAGTGTATGGATGGTAAGTGTACACGTGCTCCACGGCAATATCCTGCTGTACAGAGGAGCTGGCAGAACCCTGGAAATAATTATTTGGGGAAAATAGTGTTCATCCTCCACAGCAATTGTGTGGAACACATGAACTTGCACAGTTTGTGTCATGCAGTCTAGTCACTAATCAGGAATTGTGAGAGGAGATGTCTAATACAGATTTTTTGAGGACCAACTTATAAATTTCTGAGAGTGTGTTAAGCTGAGGCTTTTCAAGGACTTATTACTTTGGTGTATCTTCCTGAGAATGGCAAAAAGCACTCCTGAGACCTCCATCTGTTAAAGTCACTCTTCCAAAATGTGGAGGTGGTAAAATTTCTGAATTGAATGGCACAATATTTTTGGCATAGACAAAATAATGTATTTTCTTTGATTATTGCCTCATAGATGACAGAACTGCTTTTCAACTGGAATTTCCTCGATACTCAAATTGTGGTGGGTAACGCTATGGAAAAGCTAACACCAGCTACATGCAATTTGAGGAGAAAAGCAACCGCATGAGTATAGGGTCTTATGTGAAGACTCAAACAGATAAATGCAGTCTTAACTATTGGTAGTGAAAGTAGCTCCACCCAGAATAGGTAAAACAATACAGATGCGTGCTCTCTACCTAAGTGACTACATAATTATAACATTGTTTCTCCCATCTTTCTCCTTTCTCTTTCTAGTCGGTGCTATTGTTATCTGTTGTGTAGTTGGTATGATGACTCAGATAACAGAATCATGATGAAGATTATGTATACATGGAACACCAAGGCCAAAGAATGCAAATTCTCCTGGGCAAACAACCTAAGGTGGGTTTTTTATTTATTCTGCCAAGCACCACACATCGTATTATAAGACTAAGAATAAAGTTTTGTATTTTTAACTACTGCTTTCAAGCTGAACCTCAAAACAAGCTACACTTTAGTTCAAGGCTTGAACTTGCTGTTGAAAAGAAAATCAACACAGCAATTTTTTTTATCATGAGTAACTACATCTACCTATGGCTTTGAGTGTGTAATAAGAAGCTTAACAGAGTCTCAAGCAACTGGAGTTTTCCACTGCAGTTTTGTCCTCATTTGCTCTAGTAATCATTCAAGCTTAGCAGCATTTGTTAAATTCAGATACAGGTCAACTGTATTTCAATGAAGTTCAAAGAAATGGGTGCAGTTGATTAAGCCATATCATAAAAAAATATATATATATATATATATAAAATAGTGGCTTGATGATCCCTGTCTTGATAATATTTTGCTTCTCAGCTGATGAGGTTTATATCTATGGAGTAAACTATCTTTCTGAAAATTCTAGTTAGATGATAAGTAATTTGCCTTACTGAAAAGATTTTGTCAAAAAAATATCTTCTGTGAAGCAAGTTAGATACAGATGTCATCTCTCATCTGCAAGTAAACAGATAAACTGAAAGGAATATGTATTTTTGATTGATCACCTTGTGTAAAGTCATTTTCGTTGGTTTATAATGCATCTGCAGCACTACAACAGGCATTAAGTTCAAGACTGTCAGATTTGCCACTAATTAATAGATTAAAAACAATGGGACGTGAGGCAAGCTTATAGGAATTGGGCCCAACGTTGTTTGGGGAGTGTAAAGCCATGCATACGGAAATGAATGTTTTGAAGTAACCAGGGGAGTGTTTTGAAGTGATCAGTGGCTGGTCTGATCTGGACACTATAAAAAGGCCTACTTGCTAGAAAATGTTGAGAGTTTAACTGTAAAAAAAAAAAAAGTTTTCTTACATTTATCTCAGTACAGACTTGCATCAGCTATGAACACAAGTCATTACAACAGGCTGATGGTTTGGGGTTTGTTTTTTTTTTTGCAGTAAATATTATGATAGGCTCTGACAGCTGGAGAAGGTGGGCCAATAGCAATGGACTGCACCAATCTGCTGTTTCATACCAAAGAGCCTCTTGCTGCTTGAGCTGTCTCCCTGAAATCTGTATGAATGTTTGGGGGCAAGGGAAAGGAGACAGAAGCTGCCTTAAGAAACCCATATAGGATGCATCCACAGTCCAGAACAGAATTACAGTGGTGCATCCACAGCAATTCTTATTCAGAAAGACTCCCAGCACCTGCTGGAGAAGCTCCATCACGTCCGAGCACTAGTGCAGTTCAGGGCATGTAATGAAGTAATACTTTATCTTCATTTATTAAAACAGCTGTCTAAGGTCGTAAATACGAGTTGTTTTTATCACCAGGAGTCTTCCCATAAGCATGAGGATGATGATTTACACCGTATCTCCAGTTCTGCTTACATTTGCAACCTCGCGGCAGATGCTTGGCACCAGTGGTGTTCAAAAGCCATCAGAAAATGCCTTGATCACTGGTGACCTCTGCAAGAACTTTGGTGGCTGCTACATCGATCTGACCCAAGGAGTGCTCCTCAGGCAAACACGAAGGCAGGCTTTGTTTTATTGATTAGTCAAATGGTCTAGCCTTCCTGTTTTGTCTCCTCATTGGCAATTAAGAGAGAAATCCATTGAGGGAGTGGTGGCAGTGAACCTTTCCCTCTGACACAAATAACCTTAATCAGACCTCTTAGTTAATTTCTGAAATTGTTCTGTATCGACCTCTGTTTGAAGCAGGATTTTCATCCTAGAGCCCTATCAGTAAAACATACACATCTTCCTGTTAGCAAAGCAGGCTTTTTCTAATGGTGACATCTTTTACTACTTATTTACAATCCTAATCACATCATTGATTCCAGTAATCTTTCCTGCACTAAGAGCTGTTATTAATTCTCTCAAAGGAGAACCTGGGTGGGTTTTGTTGGTTGCTTTTTTTTTTTTTTTGTTTTGTCTTGTTTTTTAAACCTAGATAATTAAAATTAAAATAAGTAATGAAAATCTAGGAGATTTGCAGGTGGAAGGAGCAAGTCCACATCCCAATGGGTTTTTAACATCCATTAACATTAGCTTTCTACACCCAAAGCTCTGATTGTCCAGGTTAGGAAAGCCACAGTTTAATCCGAAACATATCATTTGGGCATGTCCTCATTTGTGTGACTCCTTTTGTGTCTGAACAAGGGAACTGCTACACTTGGGTAATGTGAAATGAAGCATTTCCTTGCCTCTTCCCCAATAATCACTGATTTAACCCCCCCCCCCCCCAAATGAACGCTGTAATCCTTTACCTCCATCTCCCCATCTGTGTTTTATACTGTTTCATGAAGGCCAGAACTTGTTTGTCCTTTTTAATGTCAACTGATATTCTAGATGAGGAACCAGTGAAATAATTGGGGATGTTCACAGCTTATGTCACTATGACTTCATCGCTGCTCTGTGATGAAGGGCAAAAGAACTCGGTCCCGAGGGGAAGCCCTGGCTGTGGGGCACTAATGCAGGCTGAATCTGGGGCTAAAGCCCCACCTTATCTGACAGCTCTTTCTCCCCTTAGGTACGCACGCAGTTTCTCGAGTTGATTAACCCTCCCAGCGTGTGCATTACATGCAAAGTTTTTTTATCTTTAAAATAATCCATAAGATTTGGTAAATGGCAATGCGAGGGAAGATCTGGCTGAGCAGGAGTACTATTTATCGCATGTTCTCCTTGCTAGAAAATGCCCCTTTGTACTCGGGGTGCCAGAGAGGCACGTCAGGCTTTTGGCAGGGAGGAAAGGTTAGACTTACCCAGGTGCTATCCCCGTCAGCAGGGTGGATGTACAAACCTGATGTCATCTATTTACATTTCTAAATCGCAGCATGGAGCAAAATGCGGCGATACGAAAGATTAGTCTTCATTTGGCAAAGTAACTGCCAAATTAAATGATGACAGATGGAAAAACTAAATGCCATGGTGTCAGGGGTCCGATGATAGCCCTCTGCTTTCGTGAGAGGTAAATATATAAACCTCAGCTTGTGCCTGCAGAAGATACGCGTCCAGTTTAAAGGCAGCCCTCGGACTTTTTATTTAATCAATACCCCCTATCGAAGAAAGCAGCGTACAGCATTAGAACTAAAACAGTGTTATTAGAAAATGATATAGTGCACATTAGGATGTATAATTCATGTCGCCTTCATTTGCTCAGACCGTCGTGAAAATCCATAAATCATTTTCTCGTTCATGTATTGCCTAAGTGCAATTTGTCATTTTGCATTAGAGGGCCGCCTCAGATCATCGGCGCTTTTAATTCACTGCTCGGGGTTTAACACCCTGCAGAGGAGCGCCCCCCCCCCGCGCCCCAGCTCCCCTCACACAAAATGGAGACCCGCTTTGAAACACGGCGGGGGGGGTGGGAGTGGGGGTGCCACCGCCGAGCTGCGGCCCCCCCCGGCACTGCACCCGCTGCCCGGAGGGAGGGAGGGAGGGAGGCGGCTCCCTTTACGCGTACACATCTATAGGACTAGATATATGTGTATTCCCGCGTGGTTTTTGCCGCCCCCCCCCCCCCCCCCCCCCGAATCAGGCCGGCTTTACCAAAGCGTTGCGTGGGGTGGGGGGGTGGGGGGGTGTCGCGCCCCGACGCCGCTTTCGCCGCGCCGCCGCCCCGACCCCCGCACCCCCCCCACCCCCCTAAATGACACACACACACACCCCTTACCTCCGGCCCCGGGGTGGGATCGCTCTCGGTCACGGCCCCGGGGCGGGCGGCAGCTCCTCCATTTCCGAGCTTCCCCCCCGCCCCCCCCCCGCCCCGGGTTTCGCCGGTGCCGCCCGCGTTGGCGGGAGGGAAGAGAAGCTCGGGGCTCCCGGGGCTCCGCCGCTGGGGCGGGCTGGGGGACGGGCCGCGCCGGGTCACGTTCCAGTCACCGGGAGCGGCCGTCTCCGTGGCGGCGGGTTAACCCCACCGGCCGCTCGCACTCCCGGGGACAGCGGAGCCCTCGACTTCGGGTCGCTGCTGCCTCCAACTTGGCGGCGGCGCGCGGAGGGGGGGGGGGGCTCTGGCGAAATCCAGTTTTATTGGAAAACACCCACCGAAATCGCCCCGCCGGCTCTGCTCAGATCTGCTCTCAGCGCCGGGGGAGGGGAACAGGATGCTATTTGGGGTGGCCTTTCCCTGCCCTGCCGCGCCGCAGGCAGCACCGGCGGCTACCCCGCACACACCCGCCTCTTACCCCACCCGCGGCGAGGCAGCACCGTGGGCCGCTACACCGGATTCCAAAGCCGCCGCGGCGGCCGGCGGCCGTTCTGGGCCCGCGGAGGAGGGGAGCGAAAAGCGGCGCCGAGGGGGCGTGGGGTGGGGGGTACGTGTGAATGGGGGACGGCAAGAGAAGGGGTCCCGGGGCCGGGAGCGCGGGGCTGCCGCGGCGGGGACGAAAGCCCCGCTCCCCCCGTGGGCGCGGGGGCGGTGCCGCCGGCGGGGCGCAGTGCGCCACTGCCGCCGCTGGGGGGCGCCCGCCGCCCGCGAGTGTGGCCGTTGGGGCGGGGCGGGGGCCGCGCGCTCCGGGGGGGGGTGGTGGGGGCCGACGGCACCGCGCACCGTTCCGCCGGTGCGCTGTAATCCGCGTCGCGGCGGAGGCGGAGGGGAGGCTTTGGGACGAACTAGCGGCAGCGGCCCCCGGCGTGCCCCCCGCCTCGGCTCAGTGCGGACGGGCGCCCGGTGGCCCCGGGACCCCTCTCCCCGGGGCGGGCGGGCGGGCGGGAGCGCGGGCACCGGGGAGGGGGGGTTTGGTGCACGCATAAGTTTGGAAATGTGAAAATTCCTGCGTTTTCGCACCGGGAAACTCATCCTAGTGTACAGCGTGTGGTTTGGGAAGGAGCCGCTGCTTGCTGGGTGGTGACGGGTGGGGTCAGAGCAGCAGCGGCTCGTACCTGCTTGGTGTTGCTCTTTCGAAACAATAAAACAACACGTTGGGGGGGGGGGGAATACATTTAATCCTTCATTTGGCAAAGTTACGGACGTGGATCTTCAGCTGTAAAAGGCCCGTGGACACGGCGGGACCCACCTCGGGTTAGGTCTGTGAACACCCGTCTCCAAACACACACACACACACACACACACACACGCAACCCCCTCAGCGCCGAACCCCCTCCTCGGTACCGGCGGGGGTCCACGGCCAAAAGCACTGGCCAGCAACGCCTCAGCCGAGCACTTGACGCGCTCTCGGCACTATTGGTCGGATCGGCTTCATTTAGCACCGAGCCGCCTCCTGTCTGAGGGAAAAGGGGACGGGAAGGCTCCTGTTGCTGCGTGCGGCACACGGGTGCCCCGGCCCCGGGTTACTAAAACCCGGGAGAAGCCGCCAAGCCGAACCTCGGCGGCGGCTGCCAGCCCTGGGGGGCGGCCAAGCTGCCTCCGAGACACCGGTACCGGCGCTGGCAGCGCGTGAAGCCCGGGCGCAACGGGCACCGACGCCCGCGACCGGAGCGTTGTACTTAAAAAAATAAAGGGGTGGCTGGGGAACCTCCCCCCCCCGCCCCAGGGGTTCCCGCCCGCCGCCTTCGGGCACCGTTCCCCCGCTGCCCGACGGTCTCCGGTTACGTTGGTGGAAATTCCGGAGTGTAAATCGGGGCGAAAAAAGCAGTGCAGGCTCCTGATACTTTAAATTGGCTGGCGCTGGAAACGCTGTGAGGCGTGAGGATGGAAAAGTTGCACTTTCTCCACCGTCGAGCTAATTAGCTAAGGCAGCCCGTAAAGGAAAAGGGAGGGGGCTGTGGAATAATCATCTCAAGTTTCCCCTTGTTTATGCGTTTTATGTAAAAATAAAAATACGCCCAGCCTCAGGTAGGAAAGTTAGTAGCTGGTGGAAACTCCCTCTCTAAGGAGAAGGTTGTTTACGGCTAGCCGTGTGTGCGCGCTAATGACGAGCGGTGATCTCCCTGCCCAGCGACTGCGGCGGGGGAACTGCCACCCTCGCGGGTGGGCAGGGGGGTGGGCAGGGGGACCGGGCAGGGGGACCGGGCAGGGGGATCGGGCAGGGGGACCGGCCAGGGGGATCGGGCAGGGGGATCGGCCCGGCAGCTGCCGGGCTCGCCTTGCGCAGCCCTTGCGCTGCTTGCGCTGGCTGCGCGCTCGCCCGCTCTCCCATATGTGACGCAGCCTACTTGACGTGCACCGCGGCCAATGGGGTGCCGCCCCCGGGGGCGTTGCTACCGGCTGATTGGTTGGCAGGAGCCGGGCGCTGCGCAAAAACAGAAAAGCCGAGCGCTGCCGGCTCAGAAACTGCCGGCAGAGATCAGAGGAGCCGGGACCGGGACCGGGACCAGGGCCGGGGCCGGGACCGGAGCCGAGACGGGAGGCGAGCGGCAGCGGCAGCAGCAGCAAGCAGAGACAGACACAGAGCGAGAGGGGCTAGACGCAAAAAGCAGCAAGAGAGAGGAAAAAAAAAAAACAAAAACCAAAACCAAAACTGATCGGCACATCCTTAAAAAAGCAGAGTGATGATGAACATAATAATAGCAATAAAAGAAGAAAATGAAAGACTATCAATAGAAGAGAGAAAAATCTAAAATCTTTAAATAAAAAAAAAAAGAGGAAATCCTAGACAAATCAGGGAATGAAAGTTTTGGGTAGAAAAGCTATTCTTTGCCTTTTTTGATACGAAATCTTTTTGAGGGTTATTTTTTTTTTTTTTTAATTTCGCGGTTTTCTTCCTTTTTCTTGCATCTAAGAGGGCATGTTCACCGGCTCTTCCAGCAGCATCTACCCCTCCAGCTCCAACCACGAAGACAAACCGAGGACAATCTTGAAATACAAAAATTTCCTCCTTGGGATTTGCTGCTGCTGCTGCTGCCTCCGCCGCCACTGCTGCTGCCGCGGTGCAGTGCCAAGACTCTCGGAATAAATAAAAGCCGGCTACTGTGTATCTCTAGATACCTCCAGCTAATTACCTATTATTAGTTGGCCATTTATTTCGAAGATCACAGATGAAGTGGGGACGCCTGTCTTCTTCATTTGGTCAGCGTGTGACACAATAATACTCATAACAAAAAGGAGGGAGATGGGGGAGAAAAAAATCCTAACATGAATCAGAAGAAATAATATCTAGCATACCCCCCCCCAAATCAATCTCTTCCCCCTTCCCCCCCCCCCTCTTCCCCCTCCCCCGATCCCTCTCTCTCCAGACGCTCGCAGACGCGGACACACACGCACACACACACAGATAGACACGCACAGGCAGGCACACACACACACACACACACACACACAGAGTACTGTGTATTTTCGGAGGAGGAGGAGGTGGTGGTGGTGGCTTTCGGAAGAGGAGGAAGAGGTGGTGTTGGGGAGGGGGTATCTCTTTCCCCGTTTGGAGATGATTGTGCTATTCCTCTTTGCCTTGCTCTGGATGGTGGAGGGGGCCCGTTGCCAGCTCCATTACACGGTGCAGGAGGAGCAGGAGCATGGCACGTTCGTGGGGAATATCGCCGAGGACCTGGGCTTGGACATTACAAAACTTTCGGCTCGCCGCTTCCAGACGGCGCCCAACTCCCGCAGCCCTTACCTGGAGCTCAACCTGGAAACCGGGGTGCTCTACGTGAATGAGAAGATCGACCGGGAGCAGATCTGCAAGCAGAGCCCCTCCTGCCTGCTGCACCTGGAGGTCTTCCTGGAGAACCCCCTGGAGCTGTTCCGGGTGGAGATCGAGGTGCTGGACATCAACGACAACCCGCCCTCCTTCCCGGAGCCCGACCTCACGGTGGAGATCTCGGAGAGCGCCACGCCGGGCACCCGCTTCCCGCTGGAAAGCGCCTTCGACCCCGACGTGGGCACCAACTCGCTGCGCACCTACGAGATCACCCCCAACAGCTACTTCTCCCTCGACGTGCAGACGCAGGGGGACGGCAACCGCTTCGCCGAGCTGGTGCTGGACAAGCCGCTGGACCGGGAGCAGCAGGCGGTGCACCGCTACGTGCTGACCGCGGTGGACGGCGGGCAGCCCCAGCAGCGCACCGGCACCGCCCTGCTCACCATCAGGGTGCTGGACTCCAACGACAACGTCCCCGCCTTCGAGCAGCCCGTCTACACCGTGTCGCTGCCGGAGAACTCGCCGCCGGGCACCCTGGTGCTGCAGCTGAACGCCACCGACCCCGACGAGGGCCAGAACGGCGAGGTGATCTACTCCTTCAGCAGCCACATCTCCGCCCGCGCCCGGGAGCTCTTCGGCATCGCGCCGCGCACCGGGCGGCTGGAGGTGAGCGGCGAGCTGGACTACGAGGAGAGCAGCGTGTACCAGGTGTACGTGCAAGCCAAGGACCTGGGGCCCAACGCCGTGCCGGCGCACTGCAAGGTGCTGGTGCGGGTGCTGGACGCCAACGACAACGCGCCCGAGATCAGCTTCTCCACCGTCAAGGAGGCGGTGAGCGAGGCGGCGGCGCCGGGCACGGTGGTGGCCCTCTTCAGCGTCTCGGACCGCGACTCGGAGGAGAACGGGCAAGTGCAGTGCGAGCTGCTGCAGGGCGACGCGCCCTTCCGCCTCAAGAGCTCCTTCAAGAACTACTACACCATCGTGACCGAGGGCCCGCTGGACCGCGAGCAGCCGGGCGGCGACGCCTACACCCTCACCGTGGTGGCCCGGGACCGCGGCCAGCCGCCGCTCAGCACCAGCAAGTCCATCCAGGTGCGGGTGAGCGACGTGAACGACAACGCGCCGCGCTTCAGCCAGCCCGTCTACCAGGTCTACGTGAGCGAGAACAACGTGCCCGGCGCCTACATCTACGCCGTCAGCGCCACCGACCGGGACCAGGGCGCCAACGCCCAGCTCGCCTACTCCATCCTGGAGAGCCAGATCCAGGGCATGTCCGTCTTCACCTACGTCTCCATCAACTCCGAGAACGGCTTCCTCTACGCCCTCCGCTCCTTCGACTACGAGCAGCTCAAGGAGTTCAGCTTCCAGGTGGAGGCCCGCGACGCCGGCGAGGAGCCGCAGCCGCTGGCCGGCAACGCCACCGTCAACATCGTCGTGGTGGACCAGAACGACAACGCCCCCGCCATCGTCAGCCCCCTGCCCGGCCGCAACGGCACCCCGGCGCGGGAGGCGCTGCCCCGCGGCGCCGAGCCGGGCTACCTGGTGAGCCGGGTGGCGGCGGTGGACGCCGACGACGGGGAGAACGCCCGCCTCACCTACAGCATCGTGCGGGGCAACGAGGCCAGCCTCTTCCGCATGGACTGGCGCACCGGGGAGCTGCGGACGGCGCGCAGGGTGCCGGCCAAACGCGACCCCCAGCGCCCCTACGAGCTGGTCGTCGAGGTGCGCGACCACGGCCAGCCGCCGCTCTCCTCCACCGCCGCCATCCAGGTGGTGCTGGTGGACGGCGCGGCCGAGCGGCCCGGCGGCGGCGGCGGC